GCATCCAAACATCTATACCATGATGATCATTTTGATCTTGATCACTATTCTCATCATTGTCTTGGGTTCCTTCATTTGCAATAGGTGCCTTAGCAATTGAAACTGGATCAATATCAACTAAGCTCTCATTACTCTGAGAATCTATCTTCTCAGCTTTGTCAATATCTTCAATAGTTTGGTCTTCAAAGAATATTGCATCACGACTTCTAATAAGTTTATTGTCAACTGGATCATAAAAATGATACCTAAACTCATCTTGACCATAACCGATAAAGATGCACTGCTTAGTTTTGACATCCAGTTTCGATCTCTCATTTTTAGGAATAGGCACACAAGATTTACACCCAAAACTCTCAGGTGATCATAAGAAACATCTTGGCAAACCAAACTCTGTCTGGGACATCACCATCCAAAGCAACAGCAGGAGACAAATTGATAACATAGGCAACAGTGTTAAGTGCTTCGCCCAAAAATAAATTGGGCTTTCTTGAGGGAGGATGACTATGAAAAGGAAACCCTTTTTCTGTTTGCCAGCTAAACAGTGGATACACCTTTTCAGCTTTGCTTGTTTCAATCCAGAAAGCAAACTTTTCTTAGCCAAACACGTAATCCCCCTATCGCTCATATGACTCAATCTTCTGGCCACAATTCTGATAAAGTATCACCTCCACCATATTTATCGAGTCATTAAGAATAGAGCCCTGTGTCACATATAAATAACCAGACTTGACTCCGCGAGCCACTACTAACAAGCCCTTAGTGAGCTTCCATTGGCCATTAAAGAGGGCATTATGGTAACCTTCATCGTCTAATCTTCCTGCGGAGATCAAATTGAAAGGAAAGTCTGGAGCATGCTTGACATCTTGAGAACTACGTTAACCATTAAAGCTTTACACCCAAAAACTCTCAGTGATCATAGAAACATCTTTGGCAAACCAAACTCTGTCTGGGATATCACCATCCAAAGCAACAGCAGGAGACAAATTGATAACATAGGCAACAGTGTTAAGTGCTTCCGCCCAAAATGTATTTGGAAGTTTAGCCTCTGAAAGTAAGCATCTAACTCTCTCAACTAGAGTTCTATTCATCCTCTCTGCCAAACCGTTCAATTGAGGCGTCTTGGGCGGAGTTTTCTGATGACGAATTCCTTGTTCCTTGCAATAGTTATCAAAGGGACCAAAATATTCACCACCATTGTCAGTGCGAATACATTTTAATTTCTTCCCCGTCTGTCTCTTAGCTAAGGACTGAAATTCCTTAAACACGCCAAGTGCTTGATCTTTAGATTTCAAAGGATACACCCAGAGCTTACGAGAATGATCATCAATGAAGGTTACAAAGTAAAATGCACCACCTTTTGACTTTACTTTAAAAGGACCACACAAATCAGAGTGTACTAGCTCCAATAAATCAGGCTTTCTTGAGGGAGGATGAATATGAAAGGAAACCCTTTTCTGTTTGCCAGCTAAACAATGGATACACCGTTTCAGTTTTGCTTGTTTCAATCCAGAAAGCAAATTTTTCTTAGCCAAACACGTAATCCCCCTATCGCTCATATGACTCAATCTTCTGTGCCACAATTCTGATAAAGTATCACCTTCCACCATATTTATTGAGTCATTAAGAATAGAGCCCTGTGTCACATATAAATAACCAGACTTGACTCCGCGAGCCACTACTAACAAGCCCTTAGTGAGCTTCCATTGGCCATTAAAGAGGGCATTATGGTAACCTTCATCGTCTAATCTTCCTGCGGAGATCAAATTGAAAGGAAAGTCTGGAGCATGCTTGACATCTTGAAGAACTAACGCTGAACCATTATTAGTTTTCAAACAAACTGTGCCAACACCAAACACCTTAACTTCACTGGCATTGCCCATCTTTAACACTCCAGAATCAACAGCCGTATAAGATGAGAAAAAATCTTTTCTTGGTGTGACATGTGAAGTAGCTCCAGAATCTGCTATCCAGCTAGTCTCGTGGGATACCAAATTGATGACGTTTTCATCATAAGCAAAAAGAAGGTCATCTCGAACAATAGCAGCAACATTGTCCTCGTTATTTTCAACTTTCTTTCCTTCTCTAGTGTCCTGATTCAACTTGCGGCAAAATCTTTTGATGTGTCCTTTCTTGCCACAGTGGTTGCATGTAATATTGTAGTATTTGGACCTTGACTTACTTCTACTTTTACCTCTATTCCTTGAGCCTCTTGTTCTATCTCTCCCCCGGTCTTCTGTAACCAAGATATCTGCTTGTGAGGACGAACCCTGAGATTTTCTTCTTACTTCCTCGTTCAACACACCACTCTTGGCATATTCCATGGTCACCTTACCTCCAGGAGCTGAATTTGTCAAAGAAACACGAAGAGTTTCCCAAAAGTCTGGCAGAGTATTAAGAAGCCAAAGTCCTTGTATCTCATCATCAAAATTAACTCCCATTCCAGATAGCTGATCAAGGACGCCCTAAAAATCATTTATGTGATCAAGGATAGGGCTGCCTTCCTTGTATTTAAAGGTCATCAATTGCTTTAGCAGAAATAATTTATTGTTCCCGATTTTTGAAGCATAAAGAGTCTCTAGCTTTTCCCCCAATGACCTCGCATGTATCTCGTTCACAATATGGTTGCGAACGTTATCTTCAACCCATTGCCGTATATATCCACATACTTGTTGGTGCTCGAAATCCCAATCTTCATCGGATATACTCTCGGATTTATGAGATGAAAAAACGGGTAGATGCATCTTCTTCACGAACAACAAGTCTTTCATCTTGCTTCTCCAAACATTATAATTTCTCCCATTTAAACATACCATCTTGCTCATATTCGCCTCCATTCCGTAACAACCTGGATAAATAACCAACGCTCTGACACCACTTGTTAGGACCGAAAAATCAGGTGTCATGCACTTGTTAGGACCGAAAAATCAGGTGTCATGCGGAAGCTAGCAAAGCAAACCTTGAACGACGATAAATCATACAACAAATAGAAATCTACCAAAAGAGACACAAATATTTAACGTGGTTTGGTCAATTGACCTACGTCCACAACGGAGATGAGCAATCCACTATAATAAAAAGAGAGTACAAAATATCGAGAGAACAACCTCACGAAGAGGCAAACACAAGTGACACACTAATACTTGTCCCGTAAAGTACTCCACCTAGACACGACTCTCAAGCCCCCTATGGCTACATTGTGGATGCTACTGAATGTGAAGGAAGGATCCTCAATTTATAGAAGTCCAAATATTTTCTTACAAGAAAAAGGACTAGCCAAATATTAGAGATTTATAATTTCCTTTTACAAAAAGAAAAATTCAGTTAAGGTAATTATATTGCCCTTTTCCTTCAAGAGATAGGAAAACCAAATATGGTAAGAAAATTATGGCAAACACCTAACATGACGAGTGCTTTATTAATGTATGTGTTTGTTGCAGGACAAGATTCAGGATATTGGTGACACTAGAGAACGATATTCTCTACCTTTCATACTTTGGTTCTTGTTTCTTTTTATTTGGGATTGATGTATTATGAGTTATTTAACCATTTACATCTATGTATTCGTGAAGAGACTATTTATCAGATGTTCGATTCTTTCAGAAGTTTGTTGAGCACATTTTTCTTTTATAGACATATCATCAATAAGTGGAGGCCTACGCTGTGTTAACATATTTTGACTTTCACTGTTTGGTAGGTATGTAGAAATAAGAAATTGTAAATTCAAACAGTATTTTGTCTTGTAAAGTAGAATATTGACTAAAACATTCTACATCAGGCTGTTGGGCCCGGGCTTCATGCACGGGCATGGAATTCTAGTATAATCTTGAAGTTGGAGTAGTTGAAGAGTCTCTCCTTTTGTCGGGTTGTCTTTCCAACCCGTCTCGGCGGGAACCATTGCCAACTTGTCAAAAGCCAAAATTAGAAATTATACAACACAGATCATACATTATGTTTAAACAAAATATTACAACTCTTTAGAACGTTTACAAACCCAAGAAGTCAGTCTGGCAGCGCTGCCTACAAATCATTTCCAATCCCCGCACCAATGGCTTTAGTTTAAGTGGATACCAAATAGTAATAAGTGCTGATTACTGCTGTTTTCATAGTTTTTCTCAACAAATGTAGATATATATTACGCTAATGTGTATCTTAAAACAATGACCATTACATGTACAATTCCAGCGGAAAGCACTTCATAAAGAGTGAGGTACGTAGATCAGGTTGGTTCGATTTTTATTAAAACTAAAAATCGATCAATTATATCAATTTGTAATGTTTCGATTTAATCGGATTTTTGGAATGCTTTATTTCATAAACATTACTCAATCTTACTTGTTAATTTTTTTATAAGTAAATATATATTTAGTTAAAATTAAAAAAATGGCAAACATATAATTTATTAAAATATTCTTATGAAAGAATTTTCTTACTGAGATTTAATCGTCCGACAATTACTTTTCGTTGATGTACACTTTCAAGGTTAATCGAATTTAATAATTAAACATAAAAATTAATATGATACCTAAATAATGATATATTCTATTTAATATTAAAATTTTAAAATACCACTTCAAATTCAAAAAAAAATATAAGAATTTAATATATACTAATATATGAATATAAAAGATAAAAGAACAAAGAGAATGACACTTTTCAATAACACAATAAAAAAATAATCATATAACCCATTATTTAAAGTTAATAAAAATAAAACACTTTCATACTTAACAAACGCTTCATACTTAACTAATTACTATTATATTCCATAAGAGAATCACAGATATTTCTAAATATTCTTTAAAGAAAAATAAAAAACCTTTAAAATACCTATAAAAATTATATATTTATATATCAGTTTGATTCAGATTTTTTTACACAATACCAAATCAAACCAAACCTTGAATCTTTTAATCCGTTTGGTTTGACTTTTTGGTTTGGTACGATTTTCCAGCTCAGTTTATACCCTTACGATGGACCAAATTTATGAAAATTAAACCCCACACATAAAATCAGACTGATGAAGTATGATACAACTATATATCACCATACTCAATACAAAATAAGTTCTAACTTAATTAACAACCTTACATCGACTAGTTAATTGATTGCACGCATCAGTTGTTCCGCCTAGTACTTCTAGTTAGAGCTCGAATGAACCAAGCAACTCGAGCATCAACATTGATGAAAACTATGATCCTAAAATACTCTATCGACATCTTTAATTTCTATATCACATAACAGTGCAAGCCTGAGGATTTTCATCACTGAAGGCAGTGATATAATTGACTTCTGTGGAGCTTGCCCTCGCAAGGCTTGACGCCTGCGGGTTGCCATCGACGTTCCGAACAAATCCTGCCGGAGCCTTCTTATCGTACACACCACGCACGTAGGGATGATCCACCAAATCGTAAGGCACGTACGGCCAAAACTCAGCCTTCTTACCTGTGCGATGCCTTACGCGACGCAACACTTTATCTGGATCCACATAACCTGTAACTACCAACCTGTGCTTCTTTGGCTCCACTTCTACGTTGGTCACTCCTTTCATTCCGTCTACCGACTTCCTCACCCTCCTTTCGCAACCTTCGCAGTCCATTTTCACTCTTATTTCCACCATCTACAAATTATATCAGAGGAAGTAAGATATACTAGAACGTCGTATATACTTAAAGCATGCACGTAATCGGAGACGGACCTATGTATATAGGTTAAAAATTATTAATTTAAAGTATTGACACTCTGACTACTAAAACGACCCATGTATATATCTTAAAAATGATTAATTTAAAGGATTGACACACCGAATACTAAAAGGATCTATGATTAATTTAAAGGATTGACACACCGAACACTAAAAGGACCTATATATACACCTTAAAAATGATTAATTTAAAGTATCGACACCCTGAAAACTAAAGGTCTTTAAGAGACACTGGTTAAACAAAATACTATGCTCCTCTCGTATAAAAATCCTGAATTAATTCGGCTCTGCACGTAATTAAGAGCATACCTCAAGTTGCCTTTTCCTTAGTTTGCTGAGCTTCTTTTTGCTGTGGCCTCGATGGAATTCGAAGAGGTCAGAAAGGTGATCTAACAAACCCATCTTCGTTGCACAAATGAGCAACTCCTTAACTTTTGGCTACAAATGCTGGTATAATGGACAGTAAGTAGACGGTCGAAGAATATATAAAGGACAGCGGGGTAGAATGTGTTGATTTTTACGTACGTGCAGCTAGTACAAATAAGCCACGTACGGGTTATATATAAGCCATGGACAGTGATGTGCTGGAACCATGTGGCAACTGTGGTGTCCCTACTTCATCATTTTCTTCATCTAGTGTGGGAATTTGGATCCTTATCCTCTTCTTGCAATCCAAAAAATAGAGTTACGTCATTTCCATGGTTAATGATGAAATCAGGTGTCATCGCAGTCTAAAACCTACGACTTGTTCCCCTACTCCAACCGTCTTTTACACCGTCCTTGACCAAAAATCATAATATTGTTTTGTTCCTATAGAAAACTACACAAATTAAGTATAGCAAATTAAATCTTCCTAGATAATATCCTCGTCTTAGTTAGCTAGCTGTTACCAGCGGCATACGTAGCATTTATAATTTGACTTGTACAATATTGTTACGTTTTAGGCCTTCATTTCAATGTTAAATTAATGTTTATTTTCTTATTTCTATAACATATCGAGCAATTATATAAGTAATATTTTTTAACAAAGCAGGGTCAGATGTTAATTATCACGTGATTAATTCCAAGTGTTTTCCTCCACTGATTCTCGCTATATGTACCCCGATAAGATATTAATAATATTATACCTTTTGTCTTTGATTCTGCTCTTGATCTGTACGAGGATATATTCATAAGATTGTTAAATTAGATTAAGCTGAATAGGACTGCCTGTCAAAGAACCATATATTACAACTAGCTAGAAAACGTGCATGCTTTATCTTCGTCTCAAGTATACTTGTGTTTAGGTTTCGGTCAGAGTAAATGATGAGAACAGCAGGTCCAGCAGAATATTTGCAACTAGCTAGCCAAATGTCATTGGTATTTAAAAGTTGTGATTAGACAGTGCTAAAAATCCAAAAGACTAGGAAGATCTTATCACTTAATTTATATATATATTATTTTTGGAAGTAGGAAGACCTTAACTAAAAAGTTAAATTACATAATTGCCCTTCTAATTAATTTAAATATCATATTAAAGTAAAATATTATTAAATTTATATGAAGAGATGCAACCTTTCATAGTTAATAGGAGTAGTTACTAATGTTCAACGGTTGCTGCTTTATTGAGCCTAAAGGAGGGAAAGACACGCGCGATTGTTCATTTTATATTTCCTTTCTATATGTGACAAGAAATGTATTGTGGAATGTCAATTGGTGATTGTTGCCTTTGTAGACCATCTTCTCATACAAAGGAGTCTACATAATGCATTTCGAAGATGAGAAATAGAAATCCACTCAAACCTTGTCAATGGAAAGAAAATTGTGAAAAGCGTTGACCGCATTCAAACGGCAGTTTTTGACGATATACAAATCACTGGGATAAGACTCAATAAAAATCGGGTTCTATTATTTTAACTTTACTTTATTATTTAATGATGAATTCCTACCTTTTGTGATTTTTGTTACTTTTATTTTTTAAATATTAGGATAGATGATATACTTATGATGATCTTAAAATACATGCTAAATTAATTATTTTTATATTTTTTAGTTGTTATTTCACGGACAAAAAGCATGGCATATATATATGTTGCATAATTGCATGCATAGATCAATCATGTGAAATTCATTTTCAAAATTGTGGGATGATATATTTAATTATAAAAGAACATTGAATCTTAACCAATATCTAAGTGTAAAGAGCATTTACTCTCATGATCTCAAATTGGTGTAAAGATTGTTTATTCTCAAAGTGATTTTGTAGTATAAATATTTTATAGTATAATTATCCTATTTCATTGTTGTCTCTTAATTGAAACTATTATTAATAAAAGAGTTGGCAGTATGAATGGTCTAATCTTCTTGAAAGAATGAAATTTTATGACTTTTGTATTTCATAGAACTTAGAAGTAGAATAGAAGATAAAATTATTGTGAAAGAATAAAAGTAGGATATGAGAAACTTTTGTGGTCGTAAAAAATTCTAAGATAACCAAAGTAGTGAAGTAGAACTATATATTATAATGAGTAAAACATGTAATGATAAAATTCAACGTTAAAATTACGGGATCTTCAATCCATTGTTTCCATTCTTTTTTTCCAAAAGAATAGAATATTCCAATTATTTACAGTACATTCTTTCCCATGTAATCTCATTTATGACCATTACATTTACCAACTCTTATTGCGATAAATTTAGCTTAAGTCAATTGTTTGTTTGTTTGCAATAAAGTTTATTTATTTGAAAATTGAAATCTCAAAGCTTGGTACAAACTTTCATCTGCAAATTATTTATTCTTTTCACTACAGATTTAATATTGCATCCAATATAAATTTATGTTCTATACTCTCTTTCTATTAGGCTACTTGAATTACTCGGTCTCGCAATAGGCTACTGCCAGCACAAGATGTCAAATTATTTTAATTTATTATCTATTTTAAAAAATAATGTTGATCACGGTAGAAAGTAGAAAATCTATCTTATATATCATCACAATTATACTTATTTTGCTTTCTCTACCTAACCATATCATATTCAGTCAAAATAGCAAGCGAATTAAAATTAACAAAATATTGTGTACCTATTAACAATATTCTTCTGATTGAGTGATAACAGTATTAGTAATTCGAAGAGGTTCAGTAAAGCTAAATAAAAATCCAAGACGCAGAAGCGTTTTGGTACTATAATATTAGTCGACGAAGAGGTAATACAATTTTTAATTTTTATTATAATTCTTACTTATTCATATTGCCTTTGTTAATGATATCATTTGTTGGTTAAGACTTTAATAGGGGAGAAATATCCAAGCAACCCCTTTCAATACTCATGTGAAAAAGTGAAAGGACTTCTTTAATCCAAATAAGAGCTAATATATTATTAATGATTAATTAAATCGTGTCAACCCTAATAACACTTCGGTGCACAAAAAACTTGAAATAACTTTTACTAACAACACTATAGTAAAGCAATCAGTCAATGACATTTCCACCCAAAAATATTTCAAATAATTTTGTATCCTTGGAAGAGGCGGCAAAATTTAGTGAGGACACTATATTTGGTAATTCTTTATAGCAATTTATGAATTATATTTTACATAATTAATTGATACTTATCACTATTTTTTCAATCTCATACATTTTAGATGTAATTTTTATTTTATTAACACACAAACCACTTATTGGAGAAGGATAGACCTTGAGAAGAGAGTGCATATGAAAGGTAAACTGAAATTACACGCATAAAAAATAGTTACACACATGAAAAATATTTTGGTGCAATATACAAAATTATCACTTAGTTGAGATACACTTCATTAGATCATAACTCATAAAATTAAAATAGTAAAATATCATATTTATTAATTAAACTTTAATTGTTAGTTTTCATAAGTTCAAACGATATCCAATAATTTTAACCTTGACAGGGAAATTTACCCTACGGCAATCCACATTGACTTTCACAAATATTTATACTTTTTCTTTCATGTTTAATTATTTACTCAAAATGTTATTTTAATAACACTTATATTATTTTATAAAATTATGTATTACATAGCTCAGCATACACGTGCAACGCACGTGTCGAGAAACTAGTTATATTAAAAGTGGAAAGCCCTAAACTAAAAATTTAAATTACTAAAATATCCTTCTACATAATTTTAATAACTTAGATATTAAAAAAAACTTATTCCTAAGAAGAGTTGTCAAGCGATAGCTAAAAGTCACAACTATTCATTTTACCAAGCCAACAATTTAACAATCACAACTATTCCTTTTAAGGAGTCAGTATACAAGTGCATTTGTGTATGTTGTATGTTTCTCCTTCGTCCTTTATTTGTTAATTTTCGTGTTCACATTTTGGGTGATATTGTTTTTATTGCTTTACTTCACTCAATTATATTTTAATATTTATCTTAATTTACTGTAATTAATAAATCAGTATTTATATTTCCACTGATTATTTACGTCCTTGCAAATTTGTTTAATTATGAGTATACACTAACCTATTTTTTTTTATGAGTATGAGTATATTGGTTACTTTCATGTTAATAGTCTGTGCAAAAAATACTTTTTTTTAGTCTGCGATTTATTGTTGTACCTCTTTCATATACATTAAATTAGATATGTAATTAAAAAAAAAGTTGATTGTCCAACATTTTGACAGTCTTTTTTCTTGGATTATCAATATAAATTTTTTATTCTTANAGTACCAAAGCAAATTTTTTAGTCTTTCTTGATGTGCTTAGGATCTGTTTTCGTTTGTGCATATTCCTGTACATACAAAGATTAGTTGGTGGGAATAAGTTTAACTAAAAAAATTAAAGGCATTCTGCACTATTTGTTAAGTAAGATGATAAAACAGTTTAAGTTTGATAAATAAAATAAATCATTAATTTTGTTTTGATATTCAAAAACTACCAATGATCATTTTTATCATAGTATTTTAGATATTAATATCATCTGCTTTTTGCATACATTAATCTCCTTAACGATCCACTTTGTTTGCAATGAAGTTCTATTTACATTCTTACGAGCGAAAGAAATAAATATTTCTTTGAAAGATATTCTGTATGAATTATAACTCCATTATTATCTGCAATAGTCTATAGACATATATGGGACTTTTCTCTTAATTTTATCTTACTTGATTATTCAGTAAATAAAAAAGAACTCATTATCCAATTCAATCCTTCATATCTACAAATGAGATTATAATTCTACCACTTATTTTTATATATATATAAAAATATTAATTATTGGTGCATGTGAAGAAGATGAAGAATTTGTGCATGTTGTGTTGGTTTTTCTTTTAGGTAAAATGTGAACTGAAAATGGAGGAAAAAATATACTCCGTATTTGAAATGATTCCTTTTTACAATGGAACTTTGTCTCTCATTAGAAAGGAAGAGAAAGATGTGTGTTCCTCAAGCAAACCTATATCGATGTCATCATTGAGTCAATTTCATGTTTTTCCCATTTAGACTTTTCTTTCATAAACAATAATACTCCCAATAGTTTTATCATACGTATATTAAAGTTTTG